TAAAACTCCACTGTATCAAGCTGCACTTAATAATGACCCAACCATAATAAACAAGCTTATAGAAAAAGGAGCTAAGGTTGATTTTAAGGATGAAAATAGTGGTGAAACTCTATTACATCAAGCTATCACAAATCATCATTTAAATGTAGCAGCAAGGCTTATAGACAAGGGAGCGAATGTTAATCATGAGGATAAATCTAAAAAAACTCCGCTTCATAAAGCTGTAGAGCATAAGATGCCAGATGCAAAAGATAAGTCTCAAGCTGCAAGAGAGGCACAATTACAAGCAACAACAAAGCTGATAGATGATAAATTCAAAGTAGTAGAAAAACTTATAGAAAAAGGAGCAGATGTTACTTCTAAAGATAGCTCTGGTGAGACCCCACTTCATGTGGCTGCTAGATATGGTCACTCACAGACAGCAGCAAAGCTTATAAAAGAAGGAAAAAAGAAAAATATAAATTATATTAATTCCAAAGATAATTCTGGTGAAACTCCACTGCATAAAGCTGCAGAATATAATAGAGAAGCGACAGAAAATAATAAATTAAATGTAGTAAAAGCACTCATAGTAGAGGGGCAGAAAAAAGATACAGCAGAGGTAAAGTATGTTAATTCTCAAGATAATAATGGTGAAACTCCGCTTCACAAAGCTGCCAAGGTAGGTTACTCCACTGTAGTAAAAGAGCTCATAAGTAAAAACGCTGATGTTACTATTAAAGATAAACATGAAGACACTCCGCTCCATGAAGCTGCTATCAGAGCTCCCATAGATGTACTAACAGCACTCATAGCAGAGGGGAAGAAGAAAGATACAGCAAAGGTAGATTATGTTAATTCTAAAGATGTAGATGGTAGAACTCCGCTTCATAACGCTGCCAGTACAGGTCACGTAAGTGCAATAGCAGAGCTCATAAATAAGGGAGCAAATGTTGAACTTAAAGATAATGGTGGTAATATTCCACTTCATGAAGCTGCTAAATTTGGTAAATTCTATGCAGCAGAAGCGCTTTTGGTACATAAATCTGATCCTCATGTGGAAAATACTCAAGGTCGCACTCCACTATATGAAGCAATAAAGTTTGTAAATGATACTTTACCAGGGAAAGTAAAAGACGCGCTTAAGGAAGATCTTGAGTTTAGAGCAAGCCTAAAAGGAGATACGGGTCCACCAGGGCCGAGGGGTGAAAAAGGTGATACGGGTTCACGTGGCCAGAAAGGTGAAACAGGAGAATCTGGTAAAAATGGGACAGATGGTAAACCAGGTAAAGATGGTGCAGATGGCATACAAGGTCCAGCAGGTAAAGATGCAACTCCACAAGATGTTGCTGACAGATTAAAGAGCGAAGATGCTTTTCAAAAAGGTGTTGCCGATAAGTTGAAGATAGATGATACATTTAAAGACAGCATAAAAGGAGATCCTGGTCCACGGGGACCTGTAGGCCCAGCAGGTCCAACAGGTCCACAGGGCCCAAATGGCACACCTGGTACAGATGGTATAAATGGTACACAAGGTCCAGAAGGTAAACCAGGTAAAGATGGTACAAATGGTGCACGAGGTCCAATAGGTCCGAAAGGTCAAGATGGTACTAGTACAACTCCTCAAGAGGTTGCTAACGCACTTGAAAATAGAGATGCGTTGCACGCCGCTGTTGCGGGTAAATTAGAGAGTAAGATCAGTTTTCAAGACAGTATTGCTAGCAGGCCAATTATGGTAAATACAGTTGTAAGTAAAGTTAGGGGTATTTTGAAAGGTCCTTCTTTTAAGGGCGAAAAAGGAGATCCTGGTACAAACGGCACACCTGGTACAGATGGTGCACCAGGTCCGGTGGGTCCAACAGGTCCACAGGGTATACCAGGTAAAGATGCAGATCCTACAGCAGTTGCTAATGCATTGATCAGCGATGGTACATCGAAAAACGCTATTGTTGGAGGTGTTACAACCAATTTACAGGGCAATGGTGATTTCCAACAAGGTGTTGCAATCAATTTACAGGGCAATGGCACTTTTCACCAAGGTGTTGCAACAAAATTGCAGGGCAATATTGCTTTTCAAGGCGGTGTTACAGGTAAATTCAAGGATGGTGGAGAACTTCAAAAAGCTATTGCAGACAATGTTACAACCAGTTTGCAGGATAATAGTAATTTTCACAAAGGTGTTGCAGATAAGTTGAAGATAGATAATACATTTAAAGACAGCATAAAAGGAGATCCTGGTCCACGGGGACCTGTAGGCCCAGCAGGTCCACAGGGCCCAAATGGCACACCTGGTACAAATGGTACACCAGGTCCAGCAGGTCAAAATGGTAGAGATGCAACTCCACAAGAGGTTGCTAATGCGTTAATCGGCGGTGCATCGAAAGACGTTATTATGAGTGATGTTGCAACCAGATTAAAGGGCGAAGATGCTTTTCAACAAGGTGTTGCAACCAGATTAAAGGGTGAAGATACTTTTCAAAAAGGTGTTGCTGACAAATTGAAGATCGATAATGCATTTAAAGACAGCATAAAAGGAGATACAGGCCCAGCAGGTCCAAAGGGTGACACAGGAGAATCTGGTACAAACGGTACAGATGGTGCACCTGGCCCAGCAGGTCAAGATGCAGATCCACAAAAGGTTGCTGGCATATTGAGGAGCGATAGTACTTTTCAAGGTGGTGTTGCAAGCAATTTACAGGGCAATGGTGCTTTCCAACAAGGTGTTGCGGATAAATTGCAGAACAATAATGAATTCAAAGCAAGCATAAAAGGAGATACGGGCCCAGAAGGTCCAGCAGGTAAAGATGGTAGAGATGGTAAAGATGGTGAAAATGGTAAACCAGGTTTACAGGGTTTCGAAGGTCCAAAAGGATTTCTAGGGTTTCCTGGTAGGGATGCAGATCCTAGAGAGGTTGCTGACGCGTTGATCAAAAATGATAAATTAAAAGACGTTATTGTTAGCGGCGTTGCGAGTAATAAAACGTTGCAAGATAGCGTTGCCAGCAATACAACTTTGCATGGTGGTGTTGCCAGCAATACAACTCTACAAGATAGTATTGCCGGTACATTGAAAGTAGATAGTAATTTTCAGGGTGATATTGCGGATAAATTGAGGGTAGATAATAGTTTTCAAAGTGATGTTGTGAGTAAATTACAAGACGATGCTAAATTTAAAGAAAGCTCAAAAGGAGAACCTGGTCGACAGGGTCCAGCAGGTCCAGCAGGCCCTCAGGGTGAACCAGGTAAAGATGGTGCACAAGGTCCAGCAGGCCCTCAGGGTCCAATAGGTAAAGATGGTGCACAAGGTCCTCAGGGTGAACCAGGCAATAATAATGTAGCAGGGCTTTTAAATGTAGACTTTACTAGCGGGGGAGGGGACCACCATGATAGACATGCAAGATCTCTTAGTAGCTATCAAGCATCATCCGGTACGTTTCATATCATAAAAGGAGAAAATTATGGTGAAATCAGTGGTGCTAGGGTAGTAGATAATAAAGACACTGTTGTTGGAGATTTTGCAGATATTGGATACTTTTTTTACGATAATACATTACATGTACGCAATCATATTACTGGTACTAGTATAAGAATACCGCAGGAATTCAACTTTTTAAGAGTTGCAGAAGATAGTGAGGGCACATTGAAGTTTGCATTATGTAATAGCCTAGGAAATTTGCTTTCTGAACATAAAAAATATGACCCTGAATACAGACAATTACCAAAATTCGTTGAAGTTAACCATGTATCTTTAGATAAAGGAGACATTGCCAACAAATATCATCGATATCACGATCATAATTGGAAGGCGATATTTCATCTTAAAGGAAACTCCTCAGGAGGAGCTGATGTGTGTGAGATTATGCAAGAAGGAAAAAAGGTTGGGCAACTCATAGATGAATTTATTCATTATGAAGGTAACGATCTTTGTTATAGAAATTATCATAATTCAACTCGAGAGTGTTGCTATGGAGAAGATTTATACATTAATTTTGGTAATAGTTTATCAATTCATGGAAATGGTAATGAAGATAATAATGAAATAATCAACCTAGAGCAAAGTTTAGAGCGTCTAGATAATTCATGGAATTTTTTGTTTTGAAAATCCTAATATGGTAGTAAAACACAGTCAGAGATGGCAAAGCTCTGGGGAAATATAAGTCGTCAAACGATACACCGTGGCTTAAAAAAGATAGGGTTTACACGAAAAAAAAGACCTACGGATATAAAGAAAGGAGCGAAGAAAAAGAGCCAAATTTTTGAAGATCGTATCGACAAAAGCTCCTAAAATTTGGTATATATTGGTGAATCTGGAATAGATAATACAGAAGAATATCCATACGGATATTGTCAAAAAAGAGAGAGGTTTCACGCACTAAAATCAGGTGAAAAAACTCAGCATGATTGCAGTTTTAAATAAGGAAAAATAGTGACCCATGACCTTCGAAGGCTACTGTGATACAGCGGTTTTTAATGTCTGATTCAAGGAATTTTTGGTGCCAATTTTACAGCCTGGACAAACGGTGATTTTGGATAATACAATTTTCCATAAATCGAAAAAATTGTCGAATTTGCCAAAAGCGCTGGTGCAGAAATTCTCTATCTTCCTCTATATTCTCCTGATTTTAATGCTCACTTTTACCCACAAATATAAAAAAGCTAGTAAAATAGCAAATTCATATATTTGATAAAGGAGTTAAAAATGTACGGAGTAAATACAAGTACGCAATATACTGATAGCTTAGGGGACAAGTGGCTAGAAAGAGAGTTGAGACATGTTAATCTGGGAGATATAAGGCTTAATAAGAGGCTTATTACAACAAGTCATCTTATAGAGCATAAGGCATCTGGGTCAATCAATCAAAGCTGTGGCAGATGGAAAGAAGCTAAGGGTGCGTACAGGTTGTTTAGCAATAAAAATCGAGGACAAGGAAATTTATTCTTCTCATTATAAAGAGACTATGGAAAGGATAAAAGGAAGTAAGCTTATATTTTCAGTCCAAGATACTAGGTAGTGTCGACATTTATTTTAACCAAAGATATATAGAAGCAATATGGACAAAAGATAAGAAAGAAATAGCTAATTTATCATAACGAGTAGCAACCCTACGAAAATTCTTGAGTTTATTGAACATTCTTTCGATGAGATTTCTCTCTTTATAAAGCTCTTTATCGTATTCTCTTGGTGTTTTTCTATTGGAACGTGGTGGAATAACCGGTTCAGCATTGATAGCTTCTGCCGCTTTAATCATATAATTTGCGTCATACCCTTTATCTGCAATAAGTGCTGCCATTTTCTTGCCTTCCACTAAGTCTAAAGCCTTTACATAATCCGACCTTTGTCCAGCAGTAACAAAAAACCTTAATGGGTTGCCAAGAGCATCACAAGCAGCATGTAATTTGGTTGAATAACCACCTTTAGATCGCCCCAATCCCTGATTTTCCTCTTCAGTCTCCTCATTTTTTTTTAGCACCAGCTGCATGCTGATGTGCCCTTATTATTGTTGAGTCTATCATCAGCCATTCCGTGTCTTCGTCTACAGCTAGAGTATTGAAAATCATCTGCCACACACCTGCTTTTGCCCATCTTATGAATCTTTTATGCACACTAAACCACTTGCCATATTCTTCAGGCAAAGCTCTCCATGGCGCTCCTGTTCGCCCTATCCACATCACTGCTGCTATGAACTTTCTGTTGTCCTTTGCACTCCTTCCACTATCCCCTTTCTTTCCGGGTAAACTCTCCTTTATCCTTTCCCATTGCTTATCTTTTAAGTCGTATAACATCCTTAGCTTCTCTCAAAAATTGTTATTATAACTCCTTTCTTTTTGAATGTCTACACTACCTAGTTATTTAGATTTTGACTTCATATAAATACCAAAGGACTAGGCAGTATTGCTAAAGCTTATACAAAGCATAAAAAGGGCTTACTGCTGCATAGTGCCTTAATGGTCAGTAAAGAAGGATTACCTTTAGGGTTATCTTCTCAACAGTGCTGGGCGCGTCCCGCTAGAAAAGAAGAAACAGCAAAAGAAAAAGCAAGCAGGAAATACCGTACTTCTATAGAGGAGAAAGAAAGTTATAAGTGGATAGCAGCACTAAAAGAAACCATAAACAATCTTCCCAAAGATGTACAACTTGTCACTCTTGGTGATAGGGAAGCAGATATCTTCAAATTTTTATGGATAGCTGAATCATTGGGTAGTTTTTATGTAATCCGTAACCGAGCTAATATAAAATTTATCTGTACTGAAGAGGGAAAAACAGATTTGCAAACACGCATAGCTCAACTTCCGATAAAAGAAAAAATCGTCATCGCATCCTATGGAGGCTTGCACTAAGGTTCTAAGCAATGAAGAGTGGAAAGCTCTTTACATACGTGAGCATCAAGTGGCCACATTGCCCGAAGAACCTCCAAACATAAAAAAGCTATTATTTGGTTGGGAACATTAGGTGGGTTTATGAATAGAAAAGGTGATAATTTACCAGGAAGTATGACTCTATGGCGAGGCTACGAAAATCTTAAGGTAAGCATGGTGATGCTCCACATAATAGCTTCTCAAAATTGTGGGTAAAAGTGAGATTTGAACCCAATTGAGCATTTTTGGTTTGCCATAAAAATGAAACTAAAAAAGCACTACCAAATTTTGGCCGAATATTAACGCTGCTATTGATTTTGTATTTTAAGAATTAAGTAAACCTTATTTGAGTTAGCTATATTCAACAAAACAGGCAAAACTAAAGGGTACTCTCTACAAACTAAATTAAAAGCATATAACATAGCAGTATTAGGTATCCTTCCTTTTAATAGATTAAACACCCCTAGTGTCATACTGATACAGTGTCATCTCTAGGTTATACCCTTCTTCATTATCACCCTTTGAGTAATGAATTTTCTTCCCTCCGGCTGCATCATCTAATACTTTAGTAATGCTTTTATATCCCAGGAATAGATTGCTTCTATAAAACTACCGAACATTGAATATCCTTAATTAATTATTAAATATAGTATAATACTATTTCAACAACACGTCAAATTATTATAACGATTAGTTAAGTAGTTAACTAATCCTGTAATCCTAGCACTTAGTACTAGGATCCAGGAAAGAAGAAGTGATTAGAAAGAAAACTTCACACCAGTGAGTAGGAGGAATCCTGTGTTAGGGGAAACTTCCTTATTACCTCGTAAAGTAATCTTATATTTCGCATCTTG